TATTGAGAACTTGTTATGGATTCACAGAGAAGGCCAAAAAAATCATCTGTCTTGCACTATGATAATAAGATTTCACTCAATAAAGAAAGAGTGATAATGAACTTGTACCTAATGTTACAGATTATTCCATACCTATTTGCAGCTCATATCTGGTGCCACCAGATTTCTGGTGTTCACAAAATTAAAAATGGTGTTGAAAGGTCAATGCTTTTCATTAGATACAAAAGTTCAAGCTGCTCTATGAGAATGAATAAAGGAAAAATTTTCGACTTTTTCCATGCAGGGAATGCAAAAATGAATTGAATGTGTGAAAAAATATGTCACACTAAATGATAATTATTACTACTTTTCAAAACTGGTCTTATTATTCAATCTCTTCTCAAACTAATTTTTAAAAAATGGAGACCTTATTTATCAGTCAACACTTATACATTTATAAGTTAAACTTTTCTATAAATAAATTAATTTTTCAACATGCCATGAGTCAGTTAAATTGACATAGGCCTCAATTGCAAAATACTACTCAGAAAATTAAATAGAGTTATCAATACCTATACAGTAAAACACAGCCCTTTCCAATAATGTCTGAAAAAATTTTCCTCTGATAAACTGTCAATACCCATATTATTAAAATTTCTTTCTAATTTATTTAATAACATACAAAAAAATCTACTAGAAACATATTTCATTATAAAGAATTTTTAGATATAAGTTTAAATAACATCACTCAATTATTTGTATGTGTGTCAAGTGTCAAATTAAATTATTCAAAATGAATAAATAAAACAATACTAAAATCATCAGCTGATTTGAATATTGCATACCCTTTATTCTTAATTAATTATTAAAAATAACTTTATCCATTTGATGTTTTTATATTCCTTTATACTCTCTTCTTCATGCAAACAAACACTAATGTCTATTTCTATAAATAAATACTGCTTATATACTCATTAAAAACTTTTAATACAAATTACTTCAAACTTAATCTGTCATTAAAATAACCAAGCATTATAATTTAAAATTATCAAAACAATTTAAAATTTTCCTCACAATTATAATATTAGAATTAAAAATCATTAAATTTCATTTTAAAAAAAAATTTGCCAATGATTTATATTCTAATACCTTACAACAGAATTATGTTGTGATGCAAGTACAGATAAAAAGATATTTGGAATTATCTAATCTATTATAATAATTTTTCTCAATTTTGGAAAATATCAATAATATTTGAACATATATTTAGACCGTCTCTAATTATTCATTCTAATTAAAAGTATTTTAATACAGTAATACTTGAGTTATGTAACATGCAGCTTATGCAATTTCAGTTATGTAAAATGTAAATCTCAAAATTTGAAAAAAAAATCTGAGTAGAGTAACATGTAATTTTACAAAGAATTATTCTATTTCAAACATTCATTCTCTCTCTCTCTCTTTCTTTCTTTTGCAGTGTACCAATTTATTATTTTACTGCTCTACTAATCCTTCACTTTTCGGTCTAATTGTAAGCACAAAGGCAAGCGTACCAGGCACTCTTTCTCATAAACAAGATTCTTCTACAGTACTCAGTGAAGGTCAAGCAGCAAAATCAAACACATCTTTGTTGCTTGTTTTTCTATTGATATATGCAGGGTTCCTGCTCAAATTTTTGTTTTAAATTCCATGACTTTCCCTGACCAACTATGTACAAATTACCTGACCTGCATGTCCCTTACAGTATGGCACAGTGTAAGGAACCAAGTCCGAGCATTATTTTTATTTACTTTTATTTTGCTTTTTATTATATTTTTGTTTGGGGCTTATGTTTTGTCAGGACGAAGGTTTCCTCACCATTCACCTTAGAAACTTAAAAATAGAAGAGAAACCAACTCACAAACGAGAGAAAAGCGTCGTAGAAAAAAAAAACTCACGCACACTTGCGTTCCCAAGCGGAAAAAAGTAAGTCTGCACCGAGAAAAAGGGGGGAGAAGACCCCACGAGCACAACTTAAATTTGCTAAACCTTAAAAGAATAAAACATCCTGAAAATTGTAAAAAAGAATAATGTAAAAGGTTAGCGAGTATTGTCGGAAAAATAGGCTGCCAGACAAATAGAAAAAATTTATTGTTAGCGAATAAGTATGTAAATGAGGGGAGTGATCGCAGTCAGAATTGTGACGTCACCTCACAGTATAAAGTCCGAACGTCAAGTGAAGATGAACGAGGTGAACTCCAGTTAGCAATGAGCTTGGTGAGCTTCGTAGCAGTAAATGAGAGAGGTGTCCGATAGGATCAAATAGTTCCAAGGCGATTTTGAAGTTATTCGATTTGTGGATCGACAAATAGAGAAAGTCTTGAGAGTTGAGGAAATAGGTTTCTAGTATACTGAGGTGACGATTAGGATCTTTAATTCATAAGAATTATTGTATATAAGTTAAGTCTTTGAATTTTGTCAAATTCCAAAGGGGAATAGATTTAAGTTAGAAACTAGATTGATTTGAGTTTTGTCGGGTTGATTCTTATTGATTTTCATTGAATAAATTTTTGTTTGATTTTTACTAAATTTTGTAAATAGTTTATTACTAGAACTTTTATTAAATACTTGATTTGTTATTGACAAACTTGGTCATTATTTAATTTCGATGCACGCTAAAAGTCCAGGCCTGGCACACTAACGCGAATCCGTGTAAAGTACCCGTTAGGGAATGGCTATATCTGGCACACAGTCGTGTCGATAATCGTTGGAAAAGTCGGAAAAATAATATAGTACTTTACAACATTAACAAAATAAAACATCATTTGACTTACTACACACATACACTATTGCTTCTCCAACTTTTTATAGGTTATTTTTTCTAATTAACAGTTATTGACAAGACTATGTCTTGTTTATAAAATTGTACTGCCTGCTGTGTTACCAGCTTAGAGGTATGAATGAGTACATATCAGGAGTTGCAATTTGGCACAAAGTATTAGGTGTTCAAATCATGTGCATATAAAAAAAAACCAGACTTGTAGGTACTCAGGGGACTGAGAACAGAGTCAAAATAAAATTCGAAATGGCGACACTCCTCAAATAGGCAGTAGTGCAAGATTTGTGCATGCATTGCTCATTAGATAGTTGGAAATGTGAAATTGAATTTTGACAAATGCGTGTGTTGGGAAGTTCGAAATGAGAAATCGAATCTTTGAAAAAAATCCCATTTACCTGTCCATGTTATTCCTGACATATCTCTGCTCACCACGTGCTCATCTTGACCGAGATATCTCATCAAGGTCAGCACAGTTGACCTGAGATATCTCGTTTCATCATCGGAACGTTTTTGAAAGAGATGGCGCTTAGTCGTTATAATTTTATATTAAAACTAACTTCCGAAATATAATTTGTTTTCTTTTCACATTTATTAATATATATATTGTTTGTGCAAAATAAAAAAATAATTTTATAAAATATAATAACCAGGATTATTATTTTCAAAAATGGGAAAGTTTTGTTAGGCATCGACAAAAATTTAACCTGAGGCAACACACAACAGAGAGAAATTTCAAAATTGGATAGGTTAATTTCACCAAAAATGCCTCATGGACAACCTCATGGTCATGGTCAATGAAGTCTGAAAGATCGTGCTCAAAACCAGCCATACCAAAGAAGATTGGAAAATGAGAACAAGACCTGCTTAGTAGTGAGTCTCTGAGACATAGTCTTGTCCCAAATACAGCCTTGCTGTTTTACTTGTATACTTTTATAATTGATGAATTGGTAAAATTAAAATAAAAAAGACAGAATTATGGCATGTCTTCTCTACATAAAACTAAAATGTTTTATTAAATAAAAATAATTTATCCTGTTATGAACTCATAACTGTTAAACTTCATGGCTTTGAAATAAAGAAAAAAAAATCATTAATTATTATTAAATTCTGTATAATCCATGTACAAAACTATAAATTTATTAAATTTGTCCCTTAATAAATTTTCCAAACTATAAAATATTAATAAATTGAGAAAAAACTTTCAGAAATCAGAAATTGTTTTGTTTTGTGATCAAAATTATTAAAATGAAAAATGATATTATTAATTCAAATGGTATTATTTAAGTTATTTATCATTTTTGGTTCTTTGTTATCATTTTTTTTTTCATCAGTTCATCAACACCTGCCCTCAAATTGAAAGAGTAAATTGTGAGAGATAGAGTTAAAAATTCTCTATCAATGTTAGATTATTAAGAGTATCGGATTTTTCTCTCAAACTTATAATACTGCATAGTTAATACAGCAGTTTTAAAATCTAAACGTATTTTAAAATATCAATTGGTATTGTTGTACGCTTGTATATTTTGTATGCTAAAATTTTGGGGAAATTTTGTGTATGTTTGGGTAAAATTTTGGATCCTGAAAATATTCTGCACCCCCTTTTCATAAGTTGCATTGTACCACAATACTTCTTGCTGCCTGCTGATATCTATACTTGGTCAGCCATACTGTCAACAAACAAAATCAACAAGGTAACCAAGGAAACAAATTCCCTGGCTTTCCATGACTTTTTCTGAACACTAATGAAAATCTCTGACTTTCCAGGTGCTTAGGAACGCTGTACATGTATTGTTTCACATCATTAGTGTCATTTGCCTCCAGTGATTTGTTTAATACATAATAACCTGTTTATCACCACTACATTTACATAGTGTTCGTTGTTTATTTACAGTATTGTAACATTAAAATGCAATTGAAACAACAAACCAAATTAAACAAAAAAATAATAAATAATATATGTGCAGTACACATATAATAATAAATACAGCATTGATTATTAATTACATAGTTACACTTAAGCAATTTACAAATTCGACTTATGTAAAATTTGAGTTACGTAATGGTCTGCATTACTTTACATAACTCGGGGTATTACTGTACTGTATAAACAAATTTTAATATTCCTGTAAATTTAGCTAATTTTATAAAATCTGTAAAAATTTATATGTTAAATTATTTAATCATTAATTAAAAGTTAAAAATAGTTAAAAATGAAAAATTAAATTTCAAAAAATATAATAAATAAATAACCACCTTCATCATCTATTTGCTCATCTCCCCAAGTTTCTTCTTCTTGTTCTAACTCTTGAAGCCATCTTTGTTCAATTTCTCTCATTTCTTCACCAACTTGCATTTCATAATCATCCTAGATATTTATAAAACAAACAAATTTTGTATTAAAAATTCAGTATTACAAATGTCAAAATATTACATTATTTCACTTCAATGAAAATTAAATATATTTATAAGTAAAATATATTTTTACTTAAATTTAATATTTTTCAAATATGAGGGGTGATCAGAAAAAAGTTTCCCTAATTTATCTACAGAAGACAAGGTTCCACTGCTGTAAACTGAAAATGTGATCTCAAAGTGACAACAATTCTTTATTTTTGGGCTGCAATTTAAAAAAATTGTAGACCTATAAATTCCCACTGTTGTTTGCCTGTTGTCTGTCCTTCCTTAAGAACAGTGTTAGATAGATGAAAGTTAAGACCAGATATGGAAAGCTTAGGGGCAGGAGATGTCAATTAGCTATATATAAGTTTCCACTTTAGACCAGAAGTCATGTTATTTCAAATCAAAAATTTTCTCCTGAACAGAGTTAGATACATGACTAACATGAATTCATTGTTAACAGGAAAAGCATGACATATATAGGGCAAGACACTACTAAATTTAAGTGCATTCTGATGACAAATTGCAGCCTGGCATAGTGACAATGTCACAATAAATAATTGCTCATTCTGTATAGTTCTGATTATGGTTTAGATATTTGTCACAGTGTGGGATAAGTTTTTCCATCCCCTATGCTTAGAAGTCTAAGTCATGCTGTCATAGCTATGTTCTTGCAGTGCACTTGCACTCATTGTTGACCAAAAAAAAGTGAGAGGCCATGTGCTCCTATAAGGCAGAGAACAGATGAAAACTATTAGGTGCCAAATTGGGGATGTAAGGTGGATACTCTGAAATTGTCCAATAGAAGCTGTGTAGCAAGTTCTATGTGCTCAATGCAATGTGAGGTTGAGTATTGTGGAGGAGGATCACATTGACTGTTAAAAATGTTTCTGATATTTTCTCACACTTTCTTCACGGTTACACAATATGTCTCCAACATGGTATCACTTCTCCAAGCAGGTCACCATTTTGAACTGCCACTGCACATTATGTTATCCATTGTTCCATTCAACAACCAGGTATCTTAGAAACATGTGTCAATAGTACTTAGAACAGTAGATTTTTTTCATGCAGGAACACTTTTTTTCTGGTTGTTCCTCATGTGTGTTAAATATAGAGTGATTCATATCAAGAATTTTAATTTCCTTCATATAATGCACAGATTGATTATCTTGCTTAAAAACCAATTTTAAAATGGTGCAGACTATGCATCATTTTGTGTTATTTGTCAATTTTAAATTGCAATTACAAACTCATTCAACAGCTTTTCCTTTGTCTAAACTTATAAAGAGCATCTTTAAAAAAATGTGAAAATCTTTTCCATGCCTACACATTCATCTCAATTGTGATTTTTCCAAAAACCATCAAAGATACATATACAGGATGATTCTAAATATATGCAAAAAACTTCAGGAGTTGATTCTTTGATTAATTTCAATCATAAAAACACATATGAACATATGTTCAAAACAGCATAATTATAATAACTGTTGAAAATGACAACTACCAACTTTAATACAAGATGCTATCTTCTGCTTCATTAATTGGTGCACACTTTCACAAATATCAGGGTGTGTCAAAATATTTCACAGAATGCAACAATGTAATTCCTTAATTTGTCAAACATTTTCAAATTGACACATAAATTATTTTAATGTACATTATGATCATGTTTTATTCATACTTATACAATATAACATCATTTTAATACAGCTGTACATTGAAAGTCTGTATTAATATAGTAAAACCTGTGAATTTGGACACCTCCCTATACTTTTACATGTATATGATACTCTGTTTCTTGGACATCTCTCTACCTTGAATTTTGGATACCTTTTTGTGATTTAACTAAGATATTTTCAGAAATTTGTGTCTAAGTTTTAACTGTTGAGTTATCCTAAACAAATGTCCTATTTAAGGTCTTATCAGTTGAAAGATAAGGAAACTTATGGCAAACAGCCTTTTTTATGGTATTTGAGATTTTCCACATTACTAACCACCAATAGCCTCAAACATCATTTCTTCCTAAAGACCAAAGTTGTCATATTTGAATACTTTGTGTCCAATTGGCTACTTCAGCACCCAAAAATTTTGCTGACAATTGACTATAAATATGGCAAATATTTTAGTTTGAGAAAAAAATTCATTACTTTTGTTCACCACTAGTTATCATTCATTGTTTTGAATCTGATCCATGTTTTAATATATTCTTGAACCTACATCAGCCATTAAGTGTAAATTGTATATAATTTTTTTTTCTTTTTTGTCTCTGCCCTATGGACACTAATAGGATCTTTCTTCAAGCCTATGGTAGGTCAGCCAGGCCCACAACAAGATAACTAGCTGGTGAGGGACAAGGTCTGACATATCTAGAATAGATCACTTCCCAAAAGAATCCTTGAGTTTGTTGACTGAGTTTGTCTGGATTCAGTTTTGGATCCTCCAGAATTTTAGGCTGATGGCTTATTTTGACTTAACCATCTGACCTTCATGTGACTATTACCCACCAGTGACAATATGGATAAAATCAAGAATACTTGGCCAACTGGTCATGAGTTCACTCCTCATCAAAGCACTAGCTTGTGACATTTCCTGGATTTTCTTCACATGCCTAACATATAAATAGGGGACAGTTTCCTATAGAAGATCTTCTTGGGAGGCATCCCCCTTAACATATTGCCAATGATGCATTGTCATATCCCATTAAATCAATCATGTGACTATTAGTCATTCTCAAAAGTACATTATAATAATTTAAAAAAACATTAAAGCTGAAGTAAATAAATTATTTAAAAGAGCGTTAAAGCTGAAGCAAGATTAAATGATTGTATTCATGATTTAAAATGTTAATAAATTAAGAAAAATCAATAAGTTCAAATGTTATTCACTCAACACACACACATTTTGCTTGATACATCTTAGAACAGGCACACCATGCCTGTAAAGCCAGCTTAATTTCCATTCTTTCAGGATAGAAACAACTCACTCTACAGCTTGGATACCTATATAAATTGGACACATTCTTATGGAATCAAGGTGTCCAACATAAAGAGGTATTACTGTATATTTTTTAAAATACAATTGATTTCAGTGGCGTACTCAGGATCTGAACTAGAGGGGGCAACTCATATTAGTTTTGAGAAAGTGGGAGGAAAAATGAGATTTCACGAAAGATGGCTCTTGTCTAGTCACAATATTCATTATTCAAACTGATACTAAATTGATACGTCTGTGCTGTGTGTCTGTGTGTCAATTACTACACTTTAATTTTTCTTCTAGGAAGGGGCAGCTGCCTAGAGGAAAAATTGATTTCACAAACTTTTGGCAACAACAGAAACCTCTTCCCCAATTAGTCCATTAAATCAAGATTCTACTGCATACTGAAAGTTTTCCTGATGGTGAGTATATGCATTTTGAATGTCTTTGTATATTTTCTGTAATTAATATAAATACAATAAAGTCAAATAAAAAAAATAAATTGTTTACTATTATGAAAAAACCACTTGTAAGATATATTAGAAAATCCATGCTTCATAAAACATGGAAGGAAATGCTTAATCATTATCTTACTCATTAAAAGTGTTTTATTTGCCATCTGTTAAATAATATAGAAAGAAAAAGTAATATAATAAAATATTTATTATTCAGGAAATATTTTTAAAAAGTTCTTATATTTTAACAAAAATATTTTTATTGTTTCATGAAATGTATATAATAATTATGTATTATTTTATTATAAAAATGTAAATACCTCTTCTTTAATAAGTGGTTTGTTTTCTAATGTTTGTGATGGCCATGGACCAATTGATGTAGGAACAGAAGATCTTCCTTCTGAAGAGCCCTTTAATTTTTCAGACTATTAAAAAAGTAATATAAATACTTGTTAAATATAAACTTAAGAATAATAATTTTAATGCAAAAATTTCTCTAATTAAAACTTTTTTTTTATCATTACTATTGTGAGATCCAGGATTTTAAGGATATTTTGATCCGTTTTTAAAAAAACTTTTATATAACATTCATCGCGATTGTTAGAAAACATTGCACTAGCTACGGATTGAATAACGCTCTCTGACAACAAATGGACCCGACCTTAAATAGTTAGTTGCTAAATGATAACATCTGATTGTGAAAGGAGAAGAAAGTAAGTGTTACCGTTGCGTCAACAAGAGTCAGAGCTAAACTATCACCTGCAAAATCAACCTTTGTTTCCAAACAACTGCCGATCACATGATCAGTTTCCCAGGCTAAACACATAAAAGGATGAGACACCGAGAGTTCTGGGCATTTGTCATAAGAAAGTCCCATTTGCTACACTGGTGCAAAAGGAAGAGCAAGAAGAGGTTCTATATGCCTCTACCTCCATAAAATAGATCTGATCCAGTCCCTGGAGAAGACACTCACGATTTCCTCAACAGAAAATCCTCTTCAAGACTATAGAACGATGTCATATCAACAATCAACAAAGACCTGAGATATTTTGGATAGATAAGTGTAAACTCTCTCTCTGCATTCGAAGAATTAGGCATGCTACACATGGCATAGGAATTTGAATAGTCACCACCTTGTATGATTTTATATTTAATCGCATTTAACTGCCTACTGTATAATATCTATGTATATCTTAGATTTAGATTATATTAAACTTTATTTGTTAAGTTTTAAACCTGACTACCTGCCATTATTTGGCTCCTATTGATGTACCCATCGCAACCTCCCCACTCAACTATTTGCCCTTCTAACCATCCGATGACGTGAGCAGGTTTTACCAACCCATGCCAAATAAGTGGCATTTAGGGAACAGCCCCTTTCGCTCCTGACTTCTCACACTATTTTATTAAACTTATATTTATTTATATTTAGTCATAAGTATATTATAGCACAAAACATAACTGTATTTGACTACTTTATAATTATTCACCATTTTTATATTTAATGAGTATATATACTTTTTATACTTTCATTTATATTTATTAAATACTATAGAAGATTAAATTCAATTCATTACAAAAATAAAACTAGAGTTTTTAAATAAAATATATTATCATCATGTGATTCTTAAATTATAGCTTGTCCCAAATGTTCAGATAAAATGCATTCCTAAAAATATGTACAAAAAAATCAATCATCCAAAAATCTAACAATACAATTGCATGCTATAAAAGAGTCCCTAGAAAGTTAAATAAGAAAATTATAAACTCTCTTATTAAGATATTAAATTTCAATTTAAAAAATTTTTTAATATTTTTTTATTATTTATGTAAGTTTTAAATATCTATTAAACTAAATAAGTTGTACCGATTACAATGATTTTATGTGATTTTATTTTCTGAGTTTTAACTTTTATCATTTTTTTTTAAGAAAAACGTTTTAAATTCTGGTTAGTCCAATATTTGTTAACTTGACAAATTTAAGAAGTACAACAGAATTAGAATGTTCTAAAATCCTAAAATCTCAAATCATACTATAAGGCAAGCTTTAATATATAAAACTCAAAAATTTTGGTTATATTTATCACTGTCTTCAGTTAAATAAGCATTTTCAAGTTATCTTTTCGTACTATTAGCTTCAATATATTCCTGATAACCTACAATTGTTATCAGCCTTAATGAGTACTTTAACCCCTCAGTTCCCATTGACGAGATAACTCGTCAAGGTTACATAGCGTTACGTAAAATTCGGTAGTTAAGGCCACTTTTGACAAAATTTTTTTTTTCAATTTTTGGAATGTTTTTTAGGTCCCCAAATTTTTTCAAAATTTTTTGCCTGCGCAAAAAATTTTTTATCGCAATTTTAATGAGCCTTTGATAAGGCTCGATTAAAGCTTAATTGTTTTTTAATGGGAGTTTTTTATCAAATTTATTTCATGGTTCCTAAGTTGTAGTGCACGGATTTGACTTCGGTAAAGTTATTTAATGTCACGATGTGCCTGGTTTCTGGTACCATACGATCCACACTGGCACATTGGCTACTGTTACTGGCAGGAGTCATGCCACCTGATCTGCAACAATCTAGGGCCCTTGCCCGTGAGTTCCTAAAGATAAATCAAAACCCTCAGTTCCAAGTTCACCAAGATATTCCATCTTTGAGTATTAACCGTTTAAAATCTCGGAATCCAACCCTTCAGACAGCTCAAGACATGGCCTTAACTGACGATGACTGCATGGCATTGTGGAAAAACTGCTGGAAAACAGGAACAGAGCCCCATTTACAAGGTTTGTTCTGTCATGGAGTGATATTCTAATGTTCACTCCATAAGCCGTAAAGTGGATAAACGAACTAGATCTACAGCTCTGAACGTTCTTATAATTATTTATTTGTATATAGATTTACTATTTCTTATTTTTCTATTTCATTCCTGGTTTTGTGTTATTTGATTTTGTTACGCTTTATTTGTGTCATGTATAAGCCATATGCTAAATAATAAATAAATAACTCATGGTGTAAAAATTTTTTAAACAAATATGATGTGCATGCTACAGATTCAGAAACTGAAGTGATTTATGTTGGGTTTGTGACTTATATTTATACAATTTCAAGTTTTATCAGATTATCAAATTAAAAATAATACACTGTACTTCAAATACAAGTCAAGTTTTTGCAGATTTACCATGGATTAACTTTGTAGCATTGTAAGGTGTGAATCGGTTACAATGGCGGCCTCCATAACGCTGACACTTAGCATGGATAAAACAGATTAATACTGTATTTGAATTTCATTGTAAGTTGTTTTATTGTTTATTGATAAATAAAAAACTAATCTTCTATAAATACCTCTTTGAAGTTATAAGCCAGCATTTAAATATTTAATCAGAGATAGTTCATAGCATGTCAATCACAGACATTCAAAATGCCAAAATGACAGCTGTCAATACCTGTCTAAAGCAGGGCTTCTTAAACTTTTTTTATTCACGACCCCATTTATGATTGTGATTTTTTTCGCGACCCCCAATATAAAATACAGATATATACAAATTTGCAAAAACAATAATGGTGTACTACCACAGTTCACTCTTGTGTTACAATGGAACAGAGACAACTGAATACAGTGAAAAGCAACAACACTACACTAGTTTTCACTAGTGTTGCTGAATCGTTGTCTCTCTGCACCAGAAGTGACACAAAGCACAACTCACGAAACCTATCACACAAAGCGTGCCATTTTCAAACTCTCACAAATTATTTTCAATATTTTGCATTAAAATCTCGCGACCCCAAGATTTCGCTAAGCGACCCCAAATGGGGTTGCGACCCATAGTTTAAGAAGCCCTGGTCTAGAGTGTTTGAGAGGCCACGTCCGTACAATCCATAGTGTCAAAAAATTGGGATCCAAGCTTTCTGCGCGGCTTAAGTGAATTCGCAGATTATTGGCCCGCGGCTTAAAGCCCCTTCACTGTATATATTTTTATAGTTTATAAATATAATATTATTTTATGAAAATCAGTGTTTTTCATTAATTTTGAAAACTTTTAACTTTATTTATTACTATTATTTTACCTAATTACTTTTCAAGTAAAGAAAAGATTCTTATTATAAACATAAATTATAGGAATAACTGTTGTCAATGTTTGGTGGAGTAGATATCAGCCAAATATTATATCATAAAACAACATGTAATAAAATAAATTATTATTTTATGTGAAGAAAATTTTTTCATAGAAATTATCTTGACTGTCAAGATGTTAATATACACTTGACTGACTAAATGTTAGCATATGCATTTCACCTGTTTGTAATATGTTTGAGAATACTGTAGCATGCAAAAAATTAAATAAAAGTATTCCAAACAAAAGTAAGTAAATTGAAAATTTACCTTTGTAATTATGCGCTCTCTTTCTTTTATTGTTTTTTCAACAACCCAAAGTTCTTCCTATAATAATAAACAACAATATAAATTAAAATTATTCATTTATGAAGAAAACAGCTTGATAACTGAGAACCTTCATGAAATTTAAACTAATACAGATCATTCCTACCACCAAATTATAATAGGAATGAGAGCAGAACTGGAATATATCTGAAGTATATTGAAGCTGAATAACAAACTTTTTAGTGAATCATCAGAAAGACCAATCATGAATACTTTTCTACATTATTATTATAATGTTTAAAAGGTTAATCATACCATTTAATTTGTTCCATGGTTGATCATTTGGTTTTCATTTCAAATAATTGTTGCAATGATGTCTTCTAGGTGCTTCTTTATTTGTATGAAAATATATTCTGAAACTAATATCAAGCAACTATGAAGAGACATGTTTAAAACATTCTTGATTCCATATTTATAAATTTCTTTTCTTGACAATGCCCAATTTGAATTAANAATATAAACTTAAGAATAATAATTTTAATGCAAAAATTTCTCTAATTAAAACTTTTTTTTTATCATTACTATTGTGAGATCCAGGATTTTAAGGATATTTTGATCCGTTTTTAAAAAAACTTTTATATAACATTCATCGCGATTGTTAGAAAACATTGCACTAGCTACGGATTGAATAACGCTCTCTGACAACAAATGGACCCGACCTTAAATAGTTAGTTGCTAAATGATAACATCTGATTGTGAAAGGAGAAGAAAGTAAGTGTTACCGTTGCGTCAACAAGAGTCAGAGCTAAACTATCACCTGCAAAATCAACCTTTGTTTCCAAACAACTGCCGATCACATGATCAGTTTCCCAGGCTAAACACATAAAAGGATGAGACACCGAGAGTTCTGGGCATTTGTCATAAGAAAGTCCCATTTGCTACACTGGTGCAAAAGGAAGAGCAAGAAGAGGCTCTATATGCCTCTACCTCCATAAAATAGATCTGATCCAGTCCCTGGAGAAGACACTCACGATTTCCTCAACAGAAAATCCTCTTCAAGACTATAGAACGATGTCATATCAACAATCAACAAAGACCTGAGATATTTTGGATAGATAAGTGTAAACTCTCTCTCTGCATTCGAAGAATTAGGCATGCTACACATGGCATAGGAATTTGAATAGTCACCACCTTGTATGATTTTATATTTAATCGCATTTAACTGCCTACTGTATAATATCTATGTATATCTTAGATTTAGATTATATTAAACTTTATTTGTTAAGTTTTAAACCTGACTACCTGCCATTATTTGGCTCCTATTGATGTACCCATCGCAACCTCCCCACTCAACTATTTGCCCTTCTAACCATCCGATGACGTGAGCAGGTTTTACCAACCCATGCCAAATAAGTGGCATTTAGGGAACAGCCCCTTTCGCTCCTGACTTCTCACACTATTTTATTAAACTTATATTTATTTATATTTAGTCATAAGTATATTATAGCACAAAACATAACTGTATTNTTATTTATTTTGTACAAACAAAATAAATATATTGAAAAATATAAAAACAAAAGAATTATACTTTAGAAGTTAATCTAGTATCAAAAACATTTGATTCAGCACGACACAGTCCAATGGGAATGCTTTCGGTTAACCGACATTTCGGTTGATTGACTTTCGAATAAACGATGCTGTACTGTAGTTATTCTATAAATATTTTTAAGAACTATAAAAATGTTCATAATTGATGAAATAGTTCCACAAATGACAAAGCCCTTTTTACAAACTATTTCATCAATTATGAACATTTTAAAGAACTATAAAAATGTTACTCCAACGTTATGTTGTAGAAAATACACATTCTTTAAAAGATGTACTTATGTTGAAAAATATAAAAGTGGGTATGTATTGTTATTTTATTAGAATATATGATGTTATGGAGGAAAAAATTATAAAAATATTAATATATTAGGGTTTCCTTATGAATGTGTAAAAAGTGTATTTTTGGTGTTTTTAATGGCTGTATTGAAAACTCTTTCCAATGTTGCCCGTTATATACCATGATTTTAGAAGACAGAACCATATGTATCGTATAAGTTGACAATTTTAAGTCAGTAAATATGACCTACACCTGAGAAATTTTGTCATGTTACTAATTGTTGTTTTTTAATAATTTGTAGTTTTGCACTAAAGAGGGGCTTAGCATATAGTATATAAGCCCAAAATGCATATGAGAAAACAATAAAAGAAGTGTCTAACCTGAAAGCTGTAATGATAGTCTACCGAACTTAATAGTTTTTCGGATTAAAGAGACATACATTCATAGAACATAATAACAGCTACCATAAATGATATTTAGAATTTATTTTAAAATGTGATGAAGTCAATTTTACAAATTTTTTACAATTTTTGTAATTTTAATAGTTATTCTATATTTAATCGATTATTTTTTTTTAATCTATATCAAGAATTTGAGGTGTCATTTAAAAATTAACTATAAACCATAAAAAACAAAAACAAAACCAGAAATGAAATTGTATGTATATTATAGGCAACATTTCATAAAATTTGATAATTATCTAATTGGGAAAAATATCACATTACTTAAGACTTGATCTGTTGTACAGTACAAAACATAATATGCAGAAAGTCATGCATTACATTATGATTTTTCAGATCATATAAAATTGCAGACAATACAGTAGATTATCCAATTATCAATTATCTGGCACTCAATTAACAGTGTACTCAGTTATCCAAGATCAGACAGAAGAAAGAAAATAAAACTTGTAATGGGTGTCTGGAAAAAATCCACACAAATTTGTGTAATGTATATTTTGCCTTGAAAAAAAGGAAACTCCATGAACTAAATCAGGGGTGTCCAACCCGCGGTCCGCGGGCCGCATGCGGCCCGAAAAACGTGTAAACAAAACTGACAAATTTTTATTTATTTATTTATTTTAAGGGCATAAACTTCAAAAAAGAAGTTTCACAAAGCCCTAAACTTTTATACGTATTTTATTTTTTAATAGAAAGGAAATATTTTCAAATGCTTGAAATGTGTGAATGAGGAAGGAATACTAAATAAAGCTGAAGTCGTGACTCAAAGGATTATAGCCCCAAATTCAGGGAAAGAAGAGAATAGCAAAAAAATAAAAATAATTGAGAAAGGTTGAAAAATTAAAGATCAATATTTGCATAACAGAAGATCTATTTAACCTTTTCACTTCTTTATTTTTTGACCTTTTTGTCCTTTCTCCGAATTTAGGTCTATAATCGTTTGAATACCAACTATAGCTTTATTTAATACTCCTTTCAGGGTTGAAAGATTTGGCAACTTTGCGCCAAATTTGGCTACCCTTTTTTAGTTTGGCGTAAAAAATATCATTTGGGTCATTGGCTACAATTTTGGCCTACATATTATTTATAAATATATTTGTTGAATAAAAATGCACTTTAGAACTGTGTTTCGTTTTTTTTAATTAAAAACCCAAATAAAACAAATATTTGTGTTTTTCAAATAAATTTTTGTTTTTTTCCTTTATAATAAATAAATTTATCTATTTATAAGTAGAAATTAAAAGTGTCTGTAGAAGTAATTTTTTAAAATATCTATTTTCGTGATAAAGTTTTAATACTTATTACTATAATCTAGGCATGTAGATCCTTAAATATACAAGTATATTTACGGATTGGGCCACGATATACTTGTGGCCCAGAATTTTATGACTTCTTCCAATGTGGCCCAGAGAAACAGAAAGGTTGGACACCCCTGAACTAAATAGTCATTTATAAAGTCCCCATTGTTAAACATGGTGAATTCACCTTTAGACATGCAATGCAACTTTCTGTACAAGACTTTGGTTCACATTTTTCAGATAATACTTTATGCAATTGATCATCCAATCTGTTTTTTGCCTTTCATCCCTTCTCATAAATGGTAGCCTTAAGAATTGCTCAAAAATCTTTAATTGGTCTAATTTATGTTATCCTTTTTGATGAAGAGGATACTTTCTTGTTGCAGGTAATCCAGTATGATTATGGAAAGTGGGAACTTGCTTGATCTGGCCAGAATACACATTCTGCTTGAGAATAGTTCTTTCAAATGTAAGGAATCAGATAGTGTATACATCCATTTAAATATCACTAGGAATTAATAGCAAAATTTAATTTTCTAATTAGGGCTTGACTCAATCCTTTTGATCTCATTTGCAATCCAAACTAACACTTTTCCCTCAAATTTCTTTTTCTTGGAAAACTTTACATTGACAGGTATAGAAGAGTTATCACTGGTATAAAATCTACCATTAACATTGATCATCAAGTGCGAGAGAGTGGAGTAAGATTCATCACCCAAAATGAAGAACTTTTGCAAAAAACCTTCCAGACTTTATCTTGCCAGTGATCTTTCTATATCCCTTCTGTCTAGAATTATCTGCATCTTTCAATATTGAATATTTTTGTTTTCAAAGCTTTATGGAGCCAACTACAAGATATTTTCAGTTTTGGGGCTACTAATCAAATTGAAATTGAAATCAAGATTTCAATTTGATTTGTAGCCCCAGGCTTTCACTGTTTTCACTTGTACCCCAAAGGTTTTCACTGTCTTCAAAGGTTCTCTTCAATCCTCCCAACTTTCCTTTTGTTACAATTTTTGCTTTTCTACAAGATCCCTTTCTCCTATATGGTGGTAATTCACTCTCAAAATATTGAAGAATGCAATAAATAGTCCACTTTGAAAATTTTTCATTTGAAAAATGTTTTACAATAAGCTTTTTCCTAATGTTTTATTTGATGTGTAAAAGTTGTATCCTCTTCAGTGTAAAACATTATCTTCCATTGTTATTTTGAAAGTAGTAGAAATTTGAATGTAGAAAAAGATTCTAGAATGTTCTACAGCATTCCATATGCTTTGAAATTGTAGCATATGTAGCATAATTTAAAATTATTGGCTGTTAGAAACATCCTGAGATATTTTGTGTGGATTTTTCCCAGACACTCATTAGCACAAAATGCCACTAATTTCATGACTATGATATCACAATAAGGAAAGAGTTAAGATGAAACTACCAACCAGGATTTTCTAACAAAAGACAAGTGTGAAGGTTACATCTGCAAACATTCATCCTTCTTAAACTCCTACAGGTAACAAACAAGCAGACCTACTACAGTTAAAACCCAATAGAGCAGCAGCAAAATAATGCATTCATCCTTTGTCTAAGAGTCTGATTCTGATGACTATCATTCATCCTGTTTTTAATATTTGTTCTACTGCGTTTCTTGAACAGGATGCATAATGCCAACTTATCACTTCTGTATTCAGTTACATGATGACCACCTTGAAGTTAGTAAGGCATGTTGCATAAGTCAGTCGCAGTTGAATATAATCACCAAAATGTCAGAATCCAGTGTGAGAGTGAAAAGAAAAAGAACTGTTTTGACAATTGCTCAGAAAATACAGTTTATTGAACAGTCCAGAAAACATGAATCATTAGCTAAACTTGCATCAAAGTTTAACATGAAAATAAAATGAGAGAGATATCATCTGCAACAAAACTGAATTGTATAAATTTGTCACTTCATCAAGCACTTTTAATAGAACAGGACAGAAATCCATAAAGGGTTCAAAACTTAACTTGGATATGGCAAATTTTGAGTGGTTTAAGAAAAAGTCTATAGAGGAATGTCTTACATTGGGCCATTGCTGCTTGAAAAAGCCAAATGATTTCAAAGTAATTATTTCTGAATCATTTGCTTTGCATCATAGAAATGATTACAATACTTTAAATCTCACATTTGAATTAAACAGCTGATATCTGAGGTGAAAAGCTAAGTGGTAATTCTGAAGCTGTCACTTCACACCTAGTAAAATTTAAGCATCTTATCAAGACTCATGAGTCTTGTTGATTTGAGACTGGCTTGTATTGAAAGGCTTTGCCTTCCAAAATGCTTGTATCTCATAAGTCCAGTAAGGAATGGATAACTGTGTTAGGCTGTCTTAATATCAGTGGTTCACACAGATTAAAATCATATGCATTGGAACATCAAAAAGTCCAAAGTCGTTTAAAGGAACATAAATGCATCATTTCCATTAATAAAGCTAATAGCATGAATGAACTGAAAAATTTTTAAAGATTGGTTTTTAAAAAATTTTGTTCCTTTTCTTCAAGACCATCTGTGACCCAAGAGTTTACAACAAAGAGCAGAGTTATTGTTGAATTACACTCCTTCCCATCCCAACAACTGACAGCCAAATTTTCATGGCTTATCTCCTTTCTAATGTGATGTTGCTTCTGCAGCCTATGGACCAAGGCATACTGGAAGCTTTCAAACATTGCTACAGAAAAGCTTTACTTTATGCAGTTCTGGAAGATACAGCTCTGTGAATTTTTCAAGAAACAAATAATAGAAAATGCATTTTTTTTTTGTTCACAATAATGTACCAAGCTCAACTTTGAAAAGTACCAAGCTCAACTTCATGGCAAAAATTGCTTCCTGTTGTGATGAAGAATGACAAAAGTATAATGACAGTATAACTGAAATCCAAGATCAAGTTCAAGCTATAACAGCTAACTCACTTATCCAGGACATTCAAGATATCAGTGGATTTGAAGATGTTAGACAAAGAAGATATTGAACAATGGCTCAGCAGTGATAATAATCAACTTGGATACTAAATAAATGATGATGTCACTATTGCTGTAGAAGCCAAATCAAGGGCTAAATTTGTGCAATAAAGTAATGAAGGAGAGGACTAGGAAAAACCATTGTGAAACATCTTTCTATATAATACATCTCTGTAATCCAAAAAAATTTGGTAGACGGACTCACAGCCAAACTTTCAGTTAGGAACTCACTTTTATTTTTAAAAAAATGACAAATGCATTTCAGGTTGGTACACACATCCAACCCCTCTTCAGTGCTAATTTTTTAAAAACAATAAAAAACTATAATAATCAGTACATGACATCAAATACACTACAAAATATTTCTATGTACTTACTCTTAAAAATAAAAATTGTGTATGGGCTACCAAAACCTGTTTTTCATCAAACCAGTCCGTCTACCAAATTTTTTTGGATTACAGAGACGTATTATATAGAAAGATATAACATACAGCAATCCAGTTATATAGCATTGTGAAACAGTTTTCACTTGCAGAAGTGCTGACATATATAAATACTGTGTTAAACTTTCTAGATCAAGACAACTCAAATTTTAGTGACATTCTAACACTTCACAAACTTTGTACATCTATAAAATTTAAGTTTTGCAAAAAGACAAGATAGCATTTCCTGTCCAATTTTTTTCAAGAAAACTCACTGGAAGACATGTTCTGCAAAAGGTAGGAATTATTTATGGTATTATCTAGATGATTTGTACTAGTTATTAACTTGAATAATCAAGATTCTGCTGTATTAGTTTTCAAAACAGCTATTTTAATAAAAAGAAACACAAGCTGTAATAATTCTACAAGTATTAAACAATATATAATATCCAGGATTATTCATGTAGTAAAACACAATAGTATATATATCAATCACTGTTCATATTTTTTACATGACAGCAACTTATCATTACAAAATAAGTATAAATTAATCTGCTAAACAATATAAGATTATTTTTCTATTTTTAAATACTTATGAAATACTTGAAAAGTTTTACACAATTTTTTTATTTTTTACACTTCTGGCCAAATATGTAGGTACATATGCGATTTTAATAATAATTTCTTAAAAAAATGTTTTTGTTTTTACAATAAAATTCATTGAGAATAAACTGCAAAGCTTGAAAGTGTTACCTCTTTAAATAAAATCTTTCTCAAATTAAAGACATTTTACTTAAAGTAATAATCTTTTCAAACTTCTTAATCATCACACAAAATACTTAAAGATGTAATACTTTTAACAATCTAACAGTAAAATGCATTATTTCTTTAATGATAATTTTATATTTGATGCATGATATTGTGATTGAAATTTCTAGCTTATCATACATATTTACTAATGTAATAATTGCTCATACATTAAAATAATACTAATTCTTTACAGTAAATTGCAATTTTAATAGTTTTTTAACATTTCATATGCAAAAGTTTAATAAATTTAATACATTCAAACTATCAAGCATCAACACAAACTAATAGTTACATTACAAAAACTATCCACTTAGTTATATATGACTAATGAACAGCCTATTTAATTAATTTAACCCAAAATGCATTTCTGCCTTATTGGCTCCTTATCAATTGGATGACATACAAAACAGAGTCTATGGTGACAATTTGCCAACATTACATTATACATTAATAGTACAATTACTACAAGTTATTACATACACATTAATAATAGGATTCTAAATTATCACTCAGACAGTAACTCAACAATAGTAAACAAGTCCAATAAAAACCTAAGGACCAATAAGGCTGAAATGTATTTTGCAATAAGTTAATTAAATAGACTGGGTGTGTAATAAGTCTGTTCATTAGTCATATGTAACTAAGCAATTTTTTTGCAATTAAATAATACAGACAAGAAGCTTTTTAAAATGATTGTTACATCTTCACTTATCATTTATACATACTAATTTTCACATTTGATAATGTTTTTGCATCTCTTATTTATCATTACTCCTTTTAAATACTATATATTATGAAACTCTCTATTATCTTAAATGCCTTTCTTCTATAGTTTATAAACAATTTTATCTATCTTTCTGTCCTACTTCAAGGTTTTATTTTATCAATTCTCTGTACATCTCCATTCTTTTGACTAAATTTCTTACTTTCATTTATACCTTAGTTGTTATTCCTAACAATATATTCCTTTTATCATACATTAATTTGTTTTAACTTTTTCTTTTAACAATATTTCACTTTACTTAACTTTATGCTTCATTTTTCTATCTAACCATATTCATCACCAAATATAAAAATTTATAAACAGTCTTTAAAAATAGAATAATGCTGAATAAGAACAATGCAAAGACATTTGTTTTTGAAGAATTAAAAGTCAAATATAATTCATTTAAAAAATTGCTTCTAAAATTATTTTTTAAATTATTAAAACTTTCAGAGATGATAATTTTATTTACTTTAATAATAAATTTTTATAAGCATTAATTAATGATTTCTTTAATTAAATTTTGAATAATTAATTTCTTTATTAGCTTAAATACAACCTGGTAAAAATATATTAGTCTTTCATAGTTTGAAGTTTTAAAAAAATGCATTATTTGAAAAAAAATTTGTAAATTAGAAATTTTAAAATTTCAAATGTTATAATATATATCTTCATAAAAATGATATAATAAAAAGATTTTTAAAATATATTCTGTTTAAAATACATTTAAATAAAGTCATACAATATTTTTATTTAATAATTTGATAATTTTTCTTGAAAAATTATTCTTCTATGTATTTATTGTTTCAATAAGTTTCTCAATTATCAAGTTAATATTTGTAAAAAATATTTTGAAAATATTTTTTCTGAATTGTTCATATAATAATAAAACCACATTAAATTACAACAACAACAACAACAACAACAAGTTTTATGTTTTGTATTGTAAACAACAATTAAAAAAGTCATCATATATACCTTTATTTCAGAAACACTGACATTGTTTTTATCAGATAATGAATTTTCTTCTGAACATAATTCAGCTACTTTAGTTCTAAAATATAAATAATAATATTTAAATCCAATCTGATTATTCTCATTACTCTTATTAGATAATTTTACTTTGATATTTATATAATATGCATCAATTATTTTTACTTTAACAATTTAAACTAAATTAAAATCTTAAAATTAAATTATAATAAATTAATTAAGATTGTTGTGCTTGTATGAGATTTCAATATTATTCTATTTTTCACTATATGCAAACTATTTAACTTATTTTTGTTACAAAGTAAAACATATACAAACATTGTTTGAGATGGTTGATCAGGTAAACAATCCATTGCTACTGGAACCATAGATTCCACAACTGGTATATATTGATCCCCTATTGTTGGAATTAAAGCAACAGGAACAGCAAAACCTTAAAATATATAGTAAATTTTAGTATTGAATTAAAAATACATTCACTTTATCTTCAAAATTACAAATTTAGAAATGTATTTTTAAATTTTCTTGTTTCCTGTCTAAAAGTAAATAATTAATAGTTATGTCAAAAAATTACAATATTTTTTAAAGAAATTTAAAATGGCCCTAATTAGAATCACTCAATTAAAAAAAAATGTTTTAAGTGTTTTAAAATAATTTTAAATCATTAATGCTGAAAGAGTTATTAACTCATATTTTTACTTTTTTTATGACACATTTGTCATCTATACTAAAGCATCTATGACATATTTGCTTATAACCCAGTCTTAATTTAGACATTATACGATAACTAATGTTTGCATAAACAGGAGAACCTCATTTATCTGGATCCTGTTAATCCAAAAAAAGAAATTTACATGTCTGTAATTTACATGACTGCTTCATTCTGGGACCAAATAAGTGAATTGACAATTATAAAGTCATGGAAAAATGTCCTGAAACTGCACAATTTTGTGTGGTTGATATTGACAATGATATTGACCCTTCAGAATTTGTTGGAATGTTCAGAAATATAGAAGGGTGGGTAGATATAGAGATCAATGACCTCAAATTGTGTTTGCAATGTAACAACGATAAAGATTTTCAATTATCAGAGAAAGACATTACAGTAGAGTGTCGTTTATCCAAATCAATTGGGGACTGGAGTTGTTCGGATAACTGATTATGTACGAAAAAATATATTAACCTATCCCGTGTTGAAATTTTCCTCCGTTGCGTGTCGCTTTGCGTTGAATTTTCGTCAATGTTAAGCCTAACGTAAACTTTTTAAAATAATAATCGTGGCTATTGTATCGTTAAAAATTATTTCTTTATTTTGTACAAACAAAATAAATATATTGAAAAATATAAAAACAATAAAAAATTATACTTCAGAANCGTTGCGTGTCGCTTCGCGTTGAATTTTCGTCGATGTTAAGCCTAACGAAGACTATTGTATCGTTAAAAATTATTTTTTTATTTTGTACGAACAAAATAAATTTATTGAAAAATATAAAAACAATAAAAAATTATACTTCAGAAGTGAATTTAGTATCAAAAACGTAAAATATTTGAGTAGCCCAAGACATAGCCAAAGATTGCAGCACCACAGCACTAGCGAAAATTTAAATTTGCTAACTGGAATTCTTTCGGATAACAGACGTTTTGGATAACCGACTTTCGGATAAACGACGCTCTACTGTATTGTTGCTTGTTCATTTGATGACAATGTGGAGACTTATGGTAATTCTGATTATCACACAGATAGTATAGAGCAAAAAGATGGGTTGTTTAGACATAGATGCTCAAATTAACACATTTAGATGCTCAAAAATGTGTTAATATACTTAGAAGAGAAACCTGACATGGAACCAACTGAACTTTTGATGGTAAAGTGTCTATGAGATTGTGCAGCATGTAAGCATCACTCAAAGCTGAAACAAAACAAACTCACAGAATTCTTTACTAATTGAAATGATGTACAGCATCCTAATTAAAATAGAACTGATAGTGTATGCAGATATGTCTTTCGCTTTATACTTTTACTATTGTTGTAAAAGTATATATAATGTGCAATAAATAAAATAAAATGTATATCTAAACTGTATTATTTATGTCATTAATGAATTTTCCAGATTATCCAAATTTTTTTAATCATCTGGATTGGACCTTGTTCCATTTAAGCTGGAAAAATGGGGTTCACTGTATAATGTAAATCCAATAGTTATTTTTGTTAATTTATTCCAAAACTTTGTTTTAGATTACCAAAAATATCATAAAGTTGAAATGTTAATTACAAAATTAAGTATAGTAGAATCTGCTTAATGTAATCATTTTAGGACTGTAGATAAGTTTTTCAATTATCCTCCAATACTGGGAAAGACAGTGACTGAATATTTGGCTTTATTGTCAGATAATCAAACTGACCATTATTTGTGAATATCTGTTAAAATATTTCTGATTCAAAACTTCTAAGATGTCATCAAATGCCATAAAATTTGATAGAACTCCTCACAGTGAAATTAAACTGTTTACAGAACATCGTACAAAAAGATCTTATTCACTATAATTTAACATTTTTGTTTTTATAAAATAAAAAATAAACTATTACAGTTTGTGCATTTATTCCAAATTTCTTCCTTATTTCTATTAATGTGACTACTGCTATCAATTTCAGACAGTTTTTGTTGCACACCTAGGTCATTTATAGTTTTCTGTTGTCTAATGAGAGGTTACTTTTTATCTTTCTTCTTCTTATACTATCTACAAAGCATTTAATTCTAACAAAATAAAATAGTCACCTTTCTCAGACATTGCAAAAATTTAAAAGATGAGAAATTCTGAAAATACTCATTAAGAAATGCTTTTCGATTGACAATATTAAAATGGAAAAGGTCACTATGATGTCATAAGACAATCTCATTATCAATTTCTTAGGTTTCGTCATAAATGGTACAACGTGTTTTGTGAATACAAAATATAAAATATCATAGATTTCTGACAATTTTACAATACTGGAGAGATACTATGTCATATCTTATGAGATATTGTGAATCTGGTTTCTGAATAGTTGAGATGCCTTAGAAATGATTAAGTTGTATCCTGCTAACCTGCCACTAAAAAATCCTAAAAATTGTAACTTCTAATTATCTCATATATTTAACATTACAGTTTAAAAATATTTTTAGTTTTGCTTATTTTGTTTGTTCTGTGTATGCAAGAAACTTCATTTTTTGGCATTTTCTGGATGATGAGCTAAGCAGCTTACCAAGTTTAATTGTAAGGCTTAATTAATATGGTGAGAGGCTAAAACTCCAATATATATTTGAAAAAATATGGCAATAAACTTATTCTTGAGATAAATCAAAAATTTGTTAACAGATCATACATATACAGCAGCGAAGTTTAAGCTATTTATAGATAATTGAAACAAAAAATTTGCTTCCAGAAAATGAAATAATCAAATATATTATAATAGTAAATTTACTTTATTAAAGTATTATTTTTTATATTTGAATTTTCACAAAAAAATAAGTTGCATTATTTTGTACCTAATTTTAAAAAATAAGCAAGAAATATTGGAAATAATGCTAGTAGAATCATTATTTTACTTACATTATTTATTTTACTTTTTTTTAATAAAAATGTTTTTTAAAATAATAAATGCAATTTACTCAAACTGCATGCATTTGTTTCCATCATTGATTGATTTTGTTACCCAAAATGTTAATGTGTTAATCACTGATTGGCTTCTTATTACCCACGTTGATCAACATTATCCAATTGACAAAAATAAACAATCAAAATGAATATTTATTGTATAGAAAACTTTATTTATTGTGGAGAATTATACTAAAGTGATTTAATCATATGTAAAACCAATCATGAAATGAGAGTTCATGCATAGGTTTCTGCAACTTAAAACATATTTAAAACTTTTAAAAATTTCAATCAACAAAAAGATTTTGAGCTTAACATAAGTACTAAGACTATGAAGTGAATAAACAAAAATGATTTTTCAGTTACCTGGTCCACCTGCTGCAAAAAGAGAAGGAGCTAATGCAGCTGATGATAATGGATGTCTCACTACTGAGGTTGGACTAGTAAGTTCACCCATCTGTGAAACAGCATTTACTTGAATTGGAGCAGGTCCTCGTATTAAAGATTTCGAACAACGAGAAATTGGACCATATTTTGAAACAAATGGAGGATCAAAAGGAATGAATTCGTCTTTTTCTGAAGGCCAAAAAGAAGCATTACCATTGTTCTCTCTGAATTACAAATCAAAATGCAAATTAATGAATAGATAAGTTGTTGATTTTAACATTAAAAATGTCTTACTTTTGTAACATTTCTTCATCTTTGTCACTTTTACTTGATGACAAATTCTTAACTAAAACGTTATTAGGGTTCTGTTTAGAAGAATCACAAGTCATAACATGAGAAAATATACTAGCCGAAGTCCAGGGTGAATAATAAGAGGTTCCAACAGAGGATTTTGAAAGACTTTTTTCTTCAGATGATATCTATATAAATATATATATATTATATAAATAATACTATACATAAAAATAACTTATAAAAAATGAAATATAATAAGGACTAGATAGAAATAAAGTGAGAAATTCTAAAAATAACTCATTTTTATAGAAAAATAAACTTTAATTATACTGTATTCATCTAATATTCTGTAACTTGCAAAGTTATACTTCATTTGTTCTTATTTATTTAAAATAAACAATTGCAAAATTTTTAAATAAAATTTAAAGATAATGTTAAAACAGGATATTTCAAAATAAATTGATATTAGTAAAAAAATTTAATTCTGAATAATACCAAAACTTTTTTGTTAAAAATATTTCTTTGACAATTGGGCCACTGCTTTTATAGTTATGAGTAGTTCATATCTGCTAATGAGAAAAAAAGCTTAAAAGAAGAAGACAGTGGATGGGTGACAGTAGGAATGTATAGGTCTACAATTTTTTCAGATTGCAACCAAATAATATCAAAATTGTTGATTACATTTTTCATTTTGAAGAAGCATATTTTTCTTGATTTTAAAAGCTTAGAGATTATTGACTTACTACTCATTTTACTATAGGTCAGTCACTGATTCTGCAACATGCTTAATTTCAGAGCCTTGCTATATCAATGGTTTTGCCAAATCTTCTGAAGTTATATAATAATAATAATATGTTCTACATTGCAATTTATACATTTCCAGTGTCTCTTGACCATTACAAACCACTAGATATTTAAATTAAGCATGTATATTAATTGTGGACTGATGTTTGTTTGATATAATTGACATTTTCATCTTTTTAGAAGCTATAGCTAAAGTTACCAAAGCAGAAAAATGTAAGCATAAAAAAAAAGAGATTTATAAAAAAACACTGTAATGCAAAAAGAAACTAGAAAAACTGCATAGAAGAAATTAACTAAATTAAAACATGAAAGACTAGATATAGTTTATACTGATGACTAAAAATAAGAAAATACACAAATGTGAGCATCAATGTGTAAAGACAAATATTCATCTCCTTTGATTTTGCACAATTTACTGACAAGGAGTGGAAAATGGCAAATTCCGAACATTCAGGGATAAAAAAGTTTACGGTTATATCGAGCAAAATGCCATAACAATTTTAACTTATACTTATTTTCATATATTTCCTCACAGTTATAACAAGGGTCACAGATATACCAAGCAAATTTTTAGTAGCTATACAAACACACAAACATTTTTAATTGTTCAAGTAAAAAGAAATATGATATCAAATTCTTGGAAAAGATAAAACTGAAAGAATTACTTAGTTTTATGGCCACTGAATAATTATTTTTATGATCTGTATCAATTACAGGCCTATTTATCACTTAACTTTCTTTTTGGAGCCCGTCCCCCTCTTTCTTGACTAACTTCTGGCCCTACTCTGCCAATTTACCTAATCATCACTATGATTGTAAAATTACCAAATACTCTAGTTAGAAACAAACCTTTATATGAGAACGGTGTCTATGAAGAAAAGAAAATGTCTGTTGGTTTACAAAAAAGTAGAATTTATTTTCAAGTTAGGACCTGATGCTAAAAACATTGAAGTGTATAGAAAGTTTTCTCACATCTATACTGTTGAAGATGGCAATCAAAAAATAAAGCAATCATCAATTTTAAGATTTGTAAATAAAAAGACTAACTGAAATTGGGCATATTATTTATTAGTATTATCTTTAATTACAAAAAAATAAATTGTTAAATATTAATTATATTGTAGTTTATATAACTATTAACATAAATACAATATAATGTAATTATATATATATAATTCTATATATGTAATTACATTATACTGTATTTAGAATTAGAAATTAAAACAGATTTCACCACTATCAGTGGCATAGCTACAAATTTTGCCACCCATGCAGTATCTCCTGCATGTTTGCATCAGAAGCAGCTGCTCATCTCCTCCTAGTGACATCACTGCTGTTCACGGATATAATGAGTAACAGTTATAACAAAGAAATCTTGCTAGTCTCCTAATGCTCACTAAAACCAAGTCTGACCGTATAATACAGGTTAATCATTGATTTTTCTAATACGTGATAACCTTTTTTTATCTGGACAAAATTATAAGATATCATTTAAAATTTCAATGACTATCAAACTTATTCACTGGAAAGCCACAGATGGCATGTGCAAAACATACATTCATTTGAATAGTCTGCATTGCAGTTATTGGTTATTCTCTACAGTGTTTAACTATCCTGCATTTAGCTCGTATTATTTACATTTAACTTTAGCTATAGCTTCTAAAAAGATTAAAATGTCAATTATATCAAACAAACATCAGTCCACAATTAATATACATGCTTAATTTAAATATCTAGCAGTTTGTAATGGTCAAGAGACACTGGAAATGTATAAATTGTGATGTAGAACATACTATTNAGTCCACAATTAATATACATGCTTAATTTAAATATCTAGCAGTTTGTAATGGTCAAGAGACACTGGAAATGTATAAATTGTGATGTAGAACATACTATTATTATTATATAACTTCAGAAGATTTGGCAAAATCATTGATCTAGCAAGGCTCTGAAATTAAGCATGTTGCAGAATCAGTGACTGACCTATAGTAAAATGAGTAGTAAGTCAATAATCTCTAAGCTTTTAAAATCAAGAAAAATAATATGCTTCTTCTAAATGAAAAATGTAATCAACAATTTTGATATTATTGGGTTGCAATCTGAAAAAATTGTAGACCTATACATTCCCACTGTCATCCATCTGTCTTTCCTTAATCTTGAGAACAGTGTTAGATAAATGGAATTCAAGACCAGATATGGAAAGCTTAGGGACAGAAGTCCTGATTAACTATATGAACTTCAAATGCAACTGGAAGTCACATTATTTCTATTCAAATCTTTTCCTCTGAAAAGAGTTAGACAGGTAATTGGCATGATTCCATTGCTAACAGGAAAGTATGATGTACAGTGGAAAGACAATACAGTACTAATTTGAGGTGGAGGGCATATATTTTAAATTAAAAATATGATTAAAAATTGTGACATTGCTCATTAATTAAATATGTATAATTTATGGAAATATAAAAACATAACATAAGTTAGAATTGCCTCAATTCTGATGCAAATTAGATTTGTCTAATAAATGAAAATTATTATACAATAATATGTATAGTGTAATACATATAAGTATATACATATTACAACTTTAATTGTAACAACTCAATTGTTTTTTTTTTGTTTTTTGTTTTAATTATGAACTATACTCTTATTTATATATGTTAATTTTGTTTGTTATCATTTAATCGGATCTAATTAATCTTTTAATTTGAATTTTGGCATATATTTATTTAAATTTTACATGTGTTGTTCTATTTTTGTTTTGATTTTGGTTTATATTTTTAGTTTTGTTTTATATTTTAAACCTAAAGATGAATAATAAATGAAACTGAAAAACTTATTTAATTGTACAGTAGAACCCCAATTATCTGAAGTAATGTGGATTGATGCTACCTCAGATAAAATGGATGGCCATAGTCATTTTAGATTAAAAATTAAAATAAGTTATAAAAGATTTATATAATATCATTTTAAGCCTGTTTTTATACCTTAGTGACTCAACTCATAAGTAAGAACAATATTTTTTACATCACTTATTATACAATTAATACCTACAATAGTTTCAAAAATAAAAATGATTATTATTTATTGTAGTTACATTTTAATAGCAATGATTTGTCTCTCACATTGAAGTTAAATGATAAAAGATAACATGTATTACAAAATTATTTGTTCTGTTATCATTTTAAATTTTCTTTTATAAATTTCAATATAAAAAAGTAGTGTATTCACTTACAGGTTCACCTTAGATAACACAGAACCTTGGTTAATTGGGGCTCAAATAACTGGGGTTATACTGTAATTAATTGGTAGGTTAAAGGCGGTTGTTTACTCTATTAAGAGAGACTGATATAGTTTATCAAGAGTATATTTCTTGAATGTCTTGAGAACAATGTGACAACATCTTGTTGTACTTTTTTGTACACCAAAATTTTGTTTACTGTTCTACACCTTTGAAATGGAGCCTAAAGATCTACTTTACAAGATATACAATAAAAAATATCTGCTTTCTTTTCTCTGATTAACACAGAGATCATGCTATGTTCCAGCTAGAAGTTCTTGGATCAAGAACTCATTTTATTTGAAATGTACCTATAAACATAATTGACGGTGTATTTGTTCAGAAAATTAGTACAAAATTTATATGATAAAAAAGTATCTTAATAAAATTCCAACTTTTATAATATGAAAAATAAGGAAAAATTAAATTGAAAAAAATTACAAAGAAAAGGTTAAACAAGAAAATTCTAGACATCAAATATATACTAAAACATGAAAATTCAGTAACAGACTTGCTAAGAAACTTTAAGAAAACCCAATAATGACATAGAATAAGGAAAAGCTACTATAAGAACTGAATATTGACAATAACATTAAAAACTGTAAAATTAATCTTATGAGAAATATTTAGAATAAGTAGCAGCAAATGTTTGAAACTCTAAATATCTACTTAATCCTGAAGATGAATTATTATAACTCAAGAACAGTAAAACTTTTACTTATATGTTTATGTTATCATCCCAAAAAAGTACTTTTGAAATTTTTTAGATACCTGAATATTATTTACTGTGCACAATATGCACAGTAAATAATACAGTACAGTGAAATTCAACAATTTCCAAAGTAATTAAATGTTAGTTTGAAAATAAAAAGAAAATTATATATTTTTTATTTTAATTGATCCATCTTTATTACTGCACATACGAATGTAAAAAAAAAGATATTTTCATACTTCTGAATTCTAAATGCCAAAAACAGCTTGTCAGCTAAAAACATTAACATTGATTTTATCCTTGACTTCATATAAGTAGTTTGTATCTTTTAAGTAAACAACAGTAATAACTTTTATAAATGTCATATAATATAATATAAATAATTAATATTTATAAATAAAATGTGTAAAATGTGAATTAC